GTTTTGTACGATTTACAGTATGGTTGAAAACTTTTTTTTTTGGAAACGGCCGAAAATTCATGCGCGCGCGGATGTCATCCATATAATCAAATCAACATGGCCTAACGGACGAAGAATATACAATTTGATAGACATTCTAGCTGTAAATGATTATGGTGTGATACAAGATACAACGTAACGCTTCTTGTATTGCTTGTAGAGGACGGAATATAAAGGACCGAACTTCAAGTAACCTTCACACAAAGGCCAATGTGGAAACATACGGATTTAGATTACTGTTTCAGTTACTTCTTTGAGACAAGGATTTCTCGAGTCTCTTTTGAAACAACGCGAAGAAGATATAGTAAAGACCTAGCTGGGATGATTTATCAAAATCATTTAGCTGAAAGGTTATTAAATATGCAGTAAAATGTGAAATTATACCAGTAATTCGATCAAAAATAATCGTCTTGCTGCCAACATGCACGGCACAGTCGTTTGTTACGCTGTCAGTTATCTATTAATTAATCTTTAACGTTGTGCGCACTCTGTGAACATAATCAGACAGTCTACTGCGTATGTAAGATTGGAGTATTAATCAAATGTCTATATTTAGTATGTTTCGCCCATCCGTAACCTTGGTGTAGAGGTCGGAGTGGTATATCTTATAGTGGTTGACATTTGAGCTGACTGAGGATTCTGTCTGGATTACACTGTGCTTTTGCTTTGAACCCAGTTCAGACCGGGCTTTTGTAATATTATATCGTATGGGCATTTTACAATGCGATCTTCTTATGCCATGTTTTGGATACACACACGTATACACTCACACACAAACAGACACACACGCGCGCGCATGCACGCACGCACACACACATACATACACACACACAGACACGCGCGCACACACAGACACATACAGACACACACGCACGCACGCGCGCCTACACACACACATACACACGCGCGCACACACACACACACACACACACACACACACACAAAATACATGTACAATAAATTTCCGTATCTGTATAGCCGGTAACACACCAGCTTCGCAGGCACGCGGCGCGGCAGCAGCTAGCTATATCACACCGTATATAGTATAAAAATAAGCATTAGCCATAAAATTACACTTTGATATTAGTTTGCCTCATCATTTGACAGTACAAAGTAAACAGGATTTCGTTTATATTTAACCTCGTGATTTCCGGAAGATCCCCAGAGCTTCCTTCTGTGTAGATCGATGTCGGCTCTCTCCCCTCTGTGCACGGGTGGGGATAGATCCTTCCGCGCTGAGGAGAACCTGTTCACCTTTGGATAGTGATAAATGCGCGCAGTGTGAAGGTGCCGATGACATGTTGATGTGTGCCGCAGTACAGGGGTGTGATCACAGGGGCTGATCATCTGGGTACTTATGCCTAGCACGTGCACACGCCACGGGGATACTTGAAAAGGAGTTTCATACGAGTAATATTCCGTTAGAATGAAAGCTCTCTAGTTGTGTTTAACACATTTACGTTTAACGTTATCCAACAGAATAAGAAAAAATGTCTTACCGAATCCTCGGGAATTTGACCCACTTCCCTGGCGGACGGCGGAAGGTATAGACTTCTGGTCACCTTTGACCCACTCCTGACGTCACACATCCCGAAGATCTGTGCGCGTCAAGAAAGTTGGTTAGACCTGAGAAAGGCTGATGGATACGGCTGAAAAATCGTCGAGACATCTTTCTTTTTGTGTTGCATACACTTATAATCTCCAGCCGGATCTTTTGGTGGTTGCAAGACAGTATCAAAGTGGCTAAGCAGTTTCCATTTGCAAGACAGTTACCTACCATGTTTTTAAAAACACAAAAAATAACCTAAAGCCTAAACCTCTGCTTGTAGAGTAAGAAGATTTTGCCATGTTATTTACCATTACTTTAAAGGTTTTTACGTTAGGATTTTTGACGGCATTATACTGTTCTATGGCTGCCGTTCTGTTCTATCCTGTTCTAGCCTGTTCTATGGTGATAACAGTTCTGTCTTCTGACCGCCGTTCTGTTCTGTTCTATCCTGTTCTAGCCTGTTCTATGTTTATAACAGGTCTGACCGCCTTTCTCTTCTATCCTGTTCTAGCCTGTTCTACGGTGACAACAGTTCTGACCGCTGTTCTGTTCTCTTCTATCCTGTTCTATGGCGATAACAGTTCTGACCGCCGTTCTGTTCTGTTCAATCCTGTTCTATGGCGATAACAGTTCTGACCACCGTTCTGTTCTCTTCTGTCCTGTTCTGTAGCCATTCTGTGACGGTGCGCACAAGACGGTGGGGATGACGCCGGTACGGTTTAAGATGGAGGAGACCCGGGAGGTGTGGTTATGCGGCTGTAAACAGACCAGCGACCGGCCGTTCTGTGACGGGACCCACAAAACAGACGCCGTACAGAACACAGAACTCGGACAGAACGTCGCTGCTTAGGAACCGTCTCTAAGTTCTGATCTCCAAGCAGATGTTAGGAGTTCGCGAACTTTTTTTGCGACCCCTTAGGGGCGAAATCATTTTTTTACATGACTGTCGCTCTGAAAATATTTCAAAATTAAATCAATTCATTCTTTGTGGATTTGAAAAAAATGGGATAGGGCCGAATGTTCCTATCGTTACTACCTCTCAATATCTGCTTGGAGATGTATCGTCCTAAAACAATCAGGGTGTACAATTTATGTAAAGAATGAGAGCTCCGTGTATACTAAGAGGCATATATGGGTGGTTAGTCCTACAGACGTCCATAAGGTTAAGAGCAAATTTGATAAATTAATTGGATGGATGGATGGATGGATGGATGGATGGATGGATGGATGGATGGATGGATGGATGGATGGATGGATGGATGGATAAATGAAGAAATGAATAGATGGATGGACGGATTGATGAATGAGCGTTTTGTGGAAATCATACATTGCAGACTAAAATATCTACAAACTATAAAATGTGCCATTCTCTAAATAAAGGTACCAATTCCCCACACAATCTTCCGTAAAGTAGGAATACTGTAATTCCTGATTTTTTCACTGTACTTTTATGTTCACTGTTTTCACTCTCACTTCTGTACAGTGAACTTATCATTACAGTTAACAAATAATTCCTGTACTTGTTTTTCCTGCACCTGTCGCAACCGTGAAGATGTCCATTTTTCTCAGACCGTGAAATTTTGCTACCGTGAACATAAAGTGAATTACAGTAATTTTACCACAACTGGACTAAATGCTAGAATTCGTAGTCGCGTGTAGCCGAACTACAATGTACTACTACTAAGGAATGACAAGACCTGTTTTTGTGTTGTGATTGGCGGTTACAAACCGTACTGCGTACGGCTATCACACATGTGATGATATGTACGTGTTAGTCACTTATGTGTTTTGAATTAAAAAGTGTCTGTGAGGTGGGGTTCTTGACTACAGAGGGCTGGGTCTCAGTTTTTGCTCATTGCAATGGCAGATTCACAATGTGACAGGGCACCCAAGTAAGGGCACGATCACATTTCCAAGCCGGGGCCCGGCCGGGTTGTTTGCGTGAACGAAAAATAAACAATTAGTATTATAAGAGTATACACAAATAGTGCTCATGGTTAATTTTCTAAAACTTTTTTTTGTTTGTGTGTTTTGCTGTCTTATATCATTTCGTTCCATACGACTGCCCGGCTGGGCCCCGGGTTGGGAAATGTGACCGCGCTGGGAAATGTGATCACTGCAGTGCTGAAGCCTAAAATACTAGTAGCTGGATCCAATCGTGTATAAGCATGGATCTGGGACAATAATCCGGCTGATTGTCAGGCTTTGCCTTCATAATCCATACTGTATCTGGCCCTGATTGGTGCCAAATTAATATAATTTCCCACAGGGGTCAGTCTTAGGGCCAGAATTACTGAACGATCTGGTGTTGTATGTATGCGCATAATTCTATGGCTGTGTCATATTCACACCAATGATTAATGTTATAACAGAGGGTGGCAAGACTATCGATATAATATCATAGCCGCGTTGAGATCACAGTCTTTATATTAGAAATTATGGAAATTATATCACACGTTTTCAAGTTTGTCCCAGTGAAATAGAGATACTGGCTGGCTACATTGATTGTATAGAATTCATACTGGCGTTACGCAAATGAATATAAAGTTGTCATTGATACATTGTTCTTTCACGTTTATTCGCCGTTGTCAGTTTCCGTTGTGAAGTCAGTAATCTAACCGAGCTTTACAAAAAAAAGGATGCCATCAGAAGTGGAATTCGAACCCACGCCAAGTGAAAAGCATGTCCGAGACTTGAGAGAGAAAAAAAAGAAAATTGTGGTTGGCTTCATAATCATATATACGCACGCAGGCAGATAGGTTTATTTATTTTTTGAATGGAGAGAAACAAGAAATTGAGATTACCAAAAATGTTACTGTCAGAAGTGGGATTCGAACCCACGCCTGGAGAACCAGACTGCGACCTGAACGCAGCGCCTTAGACCGCTCGGCCATCCTGACATTGTTAAACAACCGGTAGCTCATGTATGCTCTGCAGGATTGTTTACAAAAGGGTCATATTTACCATGCACACACACACACATAAATAACTTGTCGTTATAACAGATACCGCTGAGCGGCGTTTTTGAGCCGTACCGTTTTGTGCATTTGACGGCTGTTCATCATCGACTATCAATCCAGTTTCAAAATGCAGTATAGTTTCCTTACTGACCTGAACGTTCAAAAATATCGTATTGGTCTATAGATTACGTGCTGCTTTTGCTAGTGAAGATCATGTCCGACACTTAAAAGCAAAATGCTTTCAACGTTGGCTTTATAATCATAGATACGTTGGCAAACAGTTTCACACAAAATACTTGGCATTAACAAAAAACATTATTGTCAGAAGTGGGATTCGAACCCACGCCTGGAGAACCAGACTGCGACCTGAACGCAGCGCCTTAGACCGCTCGGCCATCCTGACATAGCTGTGCGTTTGATTGCTCTTATGGATCAAATTCCAGAATGACGCATTGCGCAACGTTAACCCAGACGTGATCAGAGGTCATTGACCGCACAAACATCTATTTATAACCACCGTTCTTTGACTGATATGTATGCTGCTTGGGCTTGGGCCATTTCACTTGAAGAAGGAATAAAAAATGATTTTTAGGTTTACCATTTTCTACATGTCAACAAGCGCTTTCATCTCTTCATGTTTTTTTTACATTCTCGATCTGTATGTTTTTCTACTGACTCCAAAATGTACTCTAATTTGCTAGAACTTAGACATGTTAGAAGTGGAAATACCAAGGACTTGGAAATACCTAGTACCTCGTGTGTTTATACCGATTTTATGTGTGGTTCTGCTTTTATATACAATTATGTGGCAGCGATTACTAGTACTTTTGCTCTATTGGGACTGCTTGGAGATAGAAATAACCGCCTTTATTAATAAAAAAAGATGAAATCGCGGTGCAGAATATTTTCTGACCAAGCTATCGCCATTAAGTCCTTACCCCTTACCCTATAATATAACCTTATGATATAATTTGTCCCAAATAATCCAATGATTTGTGCTGTAGAAGCTCCCCCCATCGGGCGGTGACCTTTGTGCACCTGTTCGCCCCGTCCCGGGATGATTGACAGCGTAATTGTACGACCGGGGCACATCACGTGATCAACAGGCGGCGGCTTCCCTTTGATTCCCGGCCCAGCGCGCCTCGCTCGCCAGCGATGTCTCTGTGGCGCAATCGGTTAGCGCGTTCGGCTGTTAACCGAAAGGTTGGTGGTTCGAGCCCACCCAGGGACGAAGCTTGCTATCTTTTTGGAGCAAGTTTTGTTAATAAAATAGACCTCATAGAACAAAATCACGGTCAATTACTAGTATCCCGACAAATTTCAACACAATTTTCATTTTTTAAAAATAATTTTTACAGCGGTCCCTAAACCCAAACAGTACCAAGAGAAACTCAGCACCTAGACATGAAACTATGCGCACATGTACTTCGAAATAGCAACCAATTATTTGCAATGATTTACGAAGAATTGAATTTTTGTTTCCTGTACGTTGACTGTCTAAAACTGGCTCAGCTTTTGTTATCCCTGAGGCCTCTTACCGGAAGCCTTGTGGGATCTTGTGGGGCGAGCCACCGACGTCGACACGACCGGCCACAGAACTTTCCTGGTTCAGATTTCTTAACTACAAGCTTACGTGAAATTATAGCCTGATAAACCTTCTTTTATCTGAAGTATTTGACTGAGATATGATATGTTGCATTACTGTTTCCGTCCGTCGGGTGGCGCTAATTTTGCACCGTGAAATCGGTCTTCGCTTCGGTTGACAAACTGAGGTACCGTCAACGTTCACTAGTCGGCGCTTCAGAACCGTATCGAAATGACGATCCTTTGGCTTTATAGAATGCAGTATTCTAATGATGTTCGAGATAATCAAGTATAAAGACATACACAATAAGAACCAACTGATGAAATATATTGCATAATATAAACATAGACATATAATAAGGCAATCTCGTATATTTGCACACATAATAAATAGCCAATGGCTCAACAGGGAGCAAGCTAGCCTATTGTTTATTCACAAGATAGACAAATACGACGGTTCAACAAAACAGGCATAAATTAGCATTCTAGTATTCCAAACTTGTGGTTGCACTATAACATTAAAATTGCACTTTGTATCGTAATAATAATAGAAACTTTATTCGCAAAATCATGCCCGAAGGCTAATTGCTTTTACAATCAAGAATAAAACACATTGCAATACAGCAACAGGAGACAGGTACCCCGGTAACAACTGTCTGGAAAAAACTTCTACTTCTACTACTACGCTAGCTATTATGAGGTTCGACTTCTTCTTTGAAGGCAGTGGATAATGAATAGTCCCACATTCTGCATAATTAGTGGGTTTTGTGATCTTAGTAGAAATGCAGTTTTTTGGTGATCTTCTAAATGACGAAAGGATGGAGAAATTGTTGTAACTGTCTGAAATAAGCTGTTTCTTTCGGTCTCATAGTGAGGACACTGGCTAACAAAATGTATTTCATTTTCCACTGCATTCATTGTACAATATTTACATAATAAGTGGTGGTCTTCACCTCGAAGCTAATCCGACAAAGAGACCGTTACAACTGACATACATACGTTACCGCGGCTTAATTTCAATTTTGCAATCAACTAAATTTGCCCGGGTCATGACCTGCCGTTCGTTATTATCTATGTGGGTCAAGTCGAGGTCACCACGGGCCAATCACGTTGCCGATCGGGGGTTAAGCAGGGTCATCCGGAAAGCAGTTATCATATTCGTCACACGATTACGGTTTAATGCGGCTTTACTAATGTTCAGGGGTACCAGAGTATAAGTGAAATTTTCCGGAATACAGTGCAATTTTACGGAATACAGTGCAATTGTATTAGTATACAGTGCATTTTTACTATTAAAATTCCACTGTATACTAATACGATTGTATTGTATTCCGTAAGATTGCTCTGTATACTAATACGATTGTATTGTATTCCGTAAAATTGCACTGTATTCTGTAAAATTGCACTGTATTCCGTAAAATTGCACTGTATACTCTGGCACCCCTGATGTGAACCAGAGAAAGGATACACATTACAGTACATGTAACATGGTGACTAGTACTAGTAGTAGGTCCCTTAGGAGGTTATCTCCAAGCAGATGTAGTGAGGGAACGCAGTAAGTTGTCCTTTGTGATTTCTGAGTCAGGCAACGATTTTCCCTTCCAACATCTACTTGGAGATTTTTAAAAAACGAGGTGTGAATTCACTGAAGATAATATGATGATGCTTATTGTTAATTACTCTAAGAATGGTTTATAAAAGGATATTATGACCCTCCAAGCAGATGTCAGGCTTCCTTAGGATAACATTTATAACTCATCATTTGACATAGACCTTTGTCGCAATTTCTAGTTCTTTTCTTGTAGTATCCTGAGTTTTCCGTTGACGTGAGCCATGAGAAGTATTTACCCCCGCCCAGTCCGAATCCATCAGTCCCAAAGTGTCCCCTCGGGCCGCGCAGTTGCCATAAGGGAACCTCAGACGGGGGTATCGGATCACCGGCCTTCCCATAGTTCCCAGCCCGCCAGCTGCGCAACACAGCACACGCTTCTACAACCCGCTACAACCTTCTGTTACAACGCAGATACAACATACTTCAGCGTGCGTACAACTCACATGCACTGAGGAGAATTTCGCCATCTCCAAGGATACATCTCCACAGGTGAGAAGTAAATTCTCCCCTACTGTTGCTTGTTGTGGTGGTTTAGTTTGCGGTTTGTTGATGCGGGAAGGGTGGTCGGTTATGGGGATAATTTTAGCCCGGCCGGCATATCGCACGAGTGACCTCCTGAACCGCACTATACATGTAGCTGTTTTGTTTACTAGTTTATAGCCAAGCTGACTGGTAGAATTACACCACGACAAGCAACATGTGAACTATTTTCCATGTAAAAGGGACAACTATGCAACGATAACTTAGCTCTTGATCTAATTAAGAAATAATTGAAATTTCTAAACTTGAAAAAAAATTACAGAGGTTGTGCTTTTCTCTGACAAAGAAAATATAAAAGAAAACTCAGATGTACACAGTTCTTTTCTGTTTTTTTATTTTACGTCTTCTTCTATGGGCTCACTGGTTGTATCACTTTGTGTGTAAGAGTGTAACATTCCATGATTGTTAAAATTACAAAGGTTGTTTACAGCATATTAAGATGAAATAAACATGATGTATTGAATAGCTTAACTTTGAGACTTTATCTGCAATCGAACCCAAACGAAAATGTGTTGAAAGCGATATTTTCTTATTAGCCCCAAATCAACCTCACCGGGTCCACGTAACTCATTTTCATTCGTGCCGTTGACTCAAAGCTTCATCGGAAAGGTAATAAAAACGTATTGATTTCGATGCCCTGATATAATTTTCATCCTTCAGACGCCATCAAATATTCCTTAAGTTATCGATTTATAGATATAAATCGTGTTCTCGTAAAATAGCTCCCAACATCAAAGATTTGGGTGGTATCAAAAGAAGATACCTTTGGTCTATACGAGATTCAACAAAGCAAACAACCTAATGTACACAATAAACTATTTAAAAATTTAGGAAAACAACAAAGTTGCTACTGTAGAATTATAAACAAACGAGCTCAAAATCATAGTATTTTGTGATATTCATAATGTTGTTGTTTGAAGTACATGTACGTCGTTGCGGTCCCCTTTTACAAGCCCAGTAGCTAATTTTAGCTCGTATCTTTTCGGCACAGTCCATCACTCATCTTCACGCCAAACATTACTCGTACAGCATGATGGATATCTTTATCGTTTTCAAATACGGTGGGTAACAACCGTGCGGTGGGTAATGATGAGGGCATAGACGGGGAGGAGGATCAAGAGGGATGTTAGGGTTTGGGGTTAGGGTTGGGGTCAGAGTTGGGGGTTAGGGTTTAGGGTTGGGGTTAGGGTAAAGTTAGGGTTTGGAGTTAGGGTCAGGGTTTGGGGTTAGGGCTAGGGTTTAGAGTTGGGGTTAGGGTTACGGTTACGGTTAGGTTATGCGGTTAGGGTTGGGGTTAGGGTTAGGGTTAGGGTTTGGGGTTTTAAGGTTTAGGGTTGGGGTTAGGGTAAGGTTAGGGTTTGGAGTTAGGTTCAGGGTTTGAGGGTAGGGCTAGGGTTTAGGGTTGGGGTTGGGGTTAGGGTTAGGGTTAGGTTAGGTTTTGCGGTTAGGGTTAAGGTTAGGGTTAGGGTTAGGGTTAGGGTTAGGGTTTGGGTTAGGTTAGGTCAGGTTTTGCGGTTAGGGTTAAGGTTAGGGTTAGGTTAGGTTAGGTTTTGCGGTTAGGGTTAAGGTTAGGGTTAGGTTAGGTTTTGCGGTTAGGGTTAAGGTTAGGGTTAGGGATAGGGTTAGGTCGGTTAGGGTTAAGGTTAGGGTTAGTGTTAGGGTTAGCGTTTGTGCGTCTGCGTGTTTGTTCGGGCAAAGAAGGTTGACAGTACGTGAATGGGAAGACTAAAATGACAGGAGGTCAAATGGTCAAACTGCAGAAATCTAAAATGGGGTGAACGTGGAGTGAACATGGGGGTCACGAAAATCTAAAATACTTTACGGAAGTTTTATTTCTTCTCTTTCGCTTCTTTGTGTTTTCTTTTGGGTCAGACATAGTAAGTTTGTATAAAATGATAAGGAGATGAAGTAGAAACAAGAAGGATAAGGAAATTTAGACCTTGAAGTAATGTTGTGTTCTTAACATTTTGACATATTCCAGGCCAATGGGACATATACACTTCATATTAATGTTTAACATCCTCTTTGAAGTCAAGCCACAGTAAGAAGAAGAATTGAGTAACAACGTTACATTAATGATCGCGATTGTTATAAATACCGCTTCACATTGTAATAATTAAAATTTCAGTATCAGCTAAAATGAAGAGAAAGGAACTGCCATCTCTGCTTTGTGAACTAATGCATTTGTACTTCATGACAGAATTCGATCCTTTTGTTGTTGTTTTGCCAGCTCACGCTGTTTACTTTAGTGGTTATATTTTGCACCTCTCCGTATCCCCTGATGGACAACTGCATAAACATCTGAAGGACACTTCCGTATGGAATGACGTTTTCCCGCCTCCTTATCTTACATGATTGATGACGTCAAGTGATTGACAGGCCTGTATGACATCTTTCCCCATTTTTTTTTAATTTTCTTATCTGTTTTTTTTTTTAATTCTTTTTTTGTACTACTGTATGACAACTTAATTTTTCGTAGTCAATTTCTAATGCCGAGGTCACATTCCAAACCGGGGCCCGGCCGGGCTGTTGCGATTAACGAATTAATCAATAATAGACGCAAATAGTTCCCATTATTAATTTTTTCACCTTTTTTTTGCTTTGTTGTCTTTTATATCATACTTTTCGTTCCATAAGACTGCCCGGCCGGGCCCCGGTTTGGAAATGTGACCTCAGCATAACGGGCATTTATATATGGTCAATTTACCTCGGTAAATGGCAGAAACTTAGGCGAAAACGTTTTTGGCAATTTTGCACTATATACTGTGAGCACCCTACCTGGTTAATTGCTAATTTTGAATATTGTAATGTCCTAATATCTAGTTTTGGGTCGATAGCGATTATTAATTTAAGCCAAAAGTGTTATCTTACACGATGGTTTTATTACATATATATGTATATAGTATTTCTTGTTTATTGGACTCGTTGATTTTATCTATTTAGTTTTCAAACATGCCTAAACTATGTCATTCATTCCTGTTCATATCATTTGGCTACATCTAATGTTTAGTGTAACGATGTATTCATAATCTGTCAACAAATTAACTTATTCATCCGATTCTGTAACTATGGAATCTGACAGACAGAATATTGGAAAGTAAACAAACAAGAGATCTAAATTTGTAGTGTCGGAAAAACAACAATAACAATCAAACGTTTATGCCAATTCAAAGTCAGGATAATCAAAATATAAGAAAGGATAATTATAGAGGGATACTAGTAATAGAATGGATGTTAGAAAGGGGCAATCCTAACCATTGTTGATGCCCATGAAACTTTTGTTCAAAATTTTAATCAAGCTACTTACAGTTTTCAAAATACATGTATATACAGTTACCTGAGTAACTATTTATGTTTACCGAAGGAAACATATTGTTTTGCTCTGTTTCTTTCATCTTCTTCCGTTCCAAACACTGACCTCTGACCTGGTCGATGACCAGACTGTCTCTCACCATGGTAACTGGTGTTGCGTTACATAATGTTGCAATTTTATAGTAGGAGGGATTTAGACTCCTGTTACCATATATGTGAATGTGTTTGAGTAAGAATTAACAGAGCAGACCCTATGCGAAAGTAAACATTATGCATTTGCTTTGCAAATGTTACCTTTCTAGCTTGTGTATCTCATAACATTGCTGCCTAACCTTCATCAACACACAAGTTGATGGTTTCGATACGGATTCCCCCGGACACCCAGCGGTTTATCCCCGTATAATTCCCTTTTACGGGGGGTTGGACGTGTATCTGTGCCTTATCTGTAGACGATATTGAAAACATAAGTCCAGACATTATGTTCTGATAAGGGAGCTTACGGCAGAAGTGCCATGAGAGAGAGCGAGTTTATTATTAGCACAACTCGATCAAGAACGTCAAAAAAGAATTCCTTGTTTGCCGTCACCCTTGAGCGTAGTATTTTCGAAAGTTTGTCAACGTGCGTTGAAAATAATGAAGTTCCTAATCTAAAATACACTGTACAAAGTACAAACATAGCGTTTTGAAGTGATTGGTCATTCATTATCCTGATGAAGACGACAACTAGTTAGTATGCACCGTGCTTTTCGTCAGTGACTTTGAATATGATTTCGCTTTTAACTTATGATTTTCTTCAAATTTTTCGAAAGTTTTGTACTATCAATAAATTAATAAACCATTTCTTTTAATTATACTCTGATGTTAAAATCAAGATATCTTGATTGAGCAATAAATTTTGTCTAAAACTTGCTATCTACAGTGTTTCTGTGTACATGTACATCAAAATCTCGTTATGTACACGTATTGCTATAGGCGGAAGGGTTACCTGATTGACACAACAAGGTGTGCTACAGGCCAAAATGTAGGCGGAGCAGATGGTGTGCTCGTCACGTGACAGACGAGGTGGCCGAGTGGTTAAGGCGATGGACTGCTAATCCATTGTGCTCTGCACGCGTGGGTTCGAATCCCATCCTCGTCGACAGTCCTTTTTAATTTTTTATATCCACATTATTCACATTTTCAACACAAATACTTTATATTGTGTTGTAACGTTCAAGAAAATATTTTAAACCTTGGAATATCAATCATTTATAAACCTTTAAACGGCCAAAACGAAAGTCTACATGCTAGACAGCATCTGCACGCAAGGGTTCGAATCCCATCCTCATCGACAGTCCTTTTTATTTTTTTATTCCGACATTATTCATATTTTTCACCACAAATATTTCATATTATGTTAAAATGTCCAAGAAAAATTTTTTTTACCATGGAATATTAATTATTTTAAACGTTTAAACGGCCAAAACGAAAGTCTAAATGCTAGACAGCATCTGCATGCAAGGGTTCGAATCCCATCCTCATCGACAGTCCTTTTTATTTTTTATCTCCACATTATTTATATTTTTCAACACAAATACTTTATATTGTGTTAAAAAGTCAATGAAAATGTTTTTTAACCTTGGAATATTAATCATTTGTAAACGT